TCTCCGTAATAACCTCTACTTTTAATATTCCTTCGTTTTACTCGGTTACATTTACTATGCTCAGCCTACCTATGAGTATGGATTTTGCATCGAACCTGTCCGCTCTCAACAAAAAGGCGATGTCTCACGCGATCCAAAATGCATGGCTTCATGATGCCTCCTTATCTTGCGATTGCGCCAAGTTCAGTTACTACCCAGAGGAGCTAAGCAGGCTGGTGTATTTGAAGGTATCAACAGGACAGAAGCTACTTAAAGCAACAGTCCCAGCAGGGTGGGCGCGACGGAACAGTTGCAATCCACTCGTCCGATTCCCATTTCGGTGCTGTTCAGCCTCTAGTCAAGAGCGTAAGAAGTGTGACTGAGCAAAAACTCATCTTCGAAAGCCGCCAGGGAAGGAGCGAAGTGAGGCGTGGTCGGACATCGCTAAGTGGATTGGCAGGTCGGTTCCCGAACCACACCCCCCCGCTGGACCTGTTGTTTAAATTATCGGTGGGTTAGACCGTAGTAGCAGCTTCAGAAGACCAAACCATGTCTTGAGCTGACTCGAAATGAGCTTCGCGGATTTGAAGTTGGTAAGATTGGATATCTAACAAGTAAGAGTAACTTTATTGTCCCATTCATTTCAGCGATACGGCCAATTGATAGGATTGTTACTATTCCTCAGTAAATGGGTCCAGCCTTATTCAATTAAAATCACTGCCCAGTACAACTGCTTGGTAAAAGAGAGACAGTAAAAGTGTGCGTCATATGGCGCGATCCCATTGGCATTGGAGCGCACAGGCCGTAATTACCACGTCCTGCTGTGGCCGGACAACTCGTCCGCGCAACACATTCTGTTCCGTTCCTCTTGCCTTGGCATCAGGCCAACGAAGCTACCCACTCTTTTTTAGATCTTTGGGACTCAGCGAGATTTTTGAGGGCCCAAATTATCACATCGATCAATTGCTGAAGTCTAGCAGCTGTGTGATACGGACGAGTTGTCCTGGATACTGTGCGCTCTAATGCCAATGGGATCGCGCCATATGACCGCCTCCCGTATAGAATGGTACTTGAAACCGGCACCCATTTTTCAGTAATGATCCACAATTCTTTGAAAATCGAAAATTAGCTGGCCCTTCAAGAACGACAATTGGACCTTTGACGATTCTACGCCTCAGCCAAAACCGTTAATTCATAATGGTATTTCGAAATTTTTGAAGCCCTCTTCAGATGCTCAAGGAAAAATATGTTGAGCAAGCGCAACCACTCGCCGGAACATGCATGGCAGACACGTAGGAAGTGCGTGTTCTTGCCGTCTGGAGTCTATTGTACTGAAGCTATTTGACACCAAACTCGTTTTTTTCAAACGTCTATCCTCTCTCTACGCTACTAACAATAATACGGAATTCCATGTACCGTTCCAAGTGAACGATTCACGCCACTGTCATTCTCGTCCGGTTTTGGGTTAAATTTCGTTGTCTGTAAAGATTCAGTTTTGCATACGAAAGCCAGCTAAGTGAGTGAAATGCTATCACTGGCATTTAGAGAGAAATGAAACACCACTTTGCAACGTACCATTTTCCTGGCCGAATAACACTCGGATGTTCGAGCGGAAAATACCTCTCTGACTACTGTATTTCTGGCTTTTAGAAGGGTACGGTAGCCAACGAGAAAATCGCAACTGTAAATGACTTTAGCTTGCATCTGGCTTTCTTTTATACCCTCATGTGATAGAGATAAGATGGGCTGACGTGGCATTGGAACAACTTTTCGTGCCATAACCCGTGCATGAATTACGAATGGTACGACAAACAGCCATAAAGGGATAATGGGCTGAGAACAGAGCGAAATTGTACCGTTTGTATTGCTTCCCATATTCGAGCTTAACTTGGATTCGTAGAAGAACTTGAAATTGTTTCCCATATACAAATAATGACTTGCTGGGCCAATCAACACTCAAGACAGTATTTGGGGGAGGTCCAAGTGAATGAGCCAATTACTGTGCTTGGGACTAAGCCCTAGGAAGGTGAGAGATCCTGGGAAAGCATGTGGCAAGTCAGGTTTTTGGTTTCTCCCTATGTTAGGCGTAGTCTGGTCGTCAATTGTCTATCGGCCCTGTTTGATTCCCCCAAAGACGAGCGGTTTTGTCGGGAACTCCGTACAGTCGAATGAGCCATGATGCTTTACGGAAGATACTGTGTATGTGTTGAGGCTGCAACGTCTACGTTCAACTCTCTTCTCTTTCGATGACAGAATACATAAGATTGCTGAAGCGGTGTATTTTGTACGATGTGCACCCCAACCACACATTGGGGCGTGCTTCATCACACATGGCCATTGAGGACCAGACGCCACAATATCCGAGGCACTGCTTTCGCCTTTGGAAGAACCTTTCTGAAGATGAACACTTGTGATGCTCGATGGGATATACTTACAGCAACAAGCCTATGTCATTAGGGGGACATTGGATCGTGATGGGCACACTGATTCAAACACTCAGGACTAAGCTTTAGGGAAGGGAAAGAAATTGTGGGCAACGATTATTCCCCCTTGTATTTATTCCCAGTCCTGGGTTTAGCCGTAGTGTCACCTACCTTTTTGAATGTCCTGTTCAGAATGTCCCCCCTAAGGACACGAGCGCCAGGCTAACAAATGGATGGGACTAACCGTGTAGCGTTATCCAAGGCCCAAAATTCGTCATTTCGCAAGTAGCGAAGCGTTGTAGGAAGCACACAGCCTCAAGATGAGCTTGAAAGGATGATTACTAGGCTATTACGAGATGATTTAGTAGTTAGAAAGTGAGTAAAGTTTTGAAAATCGTGAAGGAATGCGAGCGGAATTGGAAGTTAAGGATATCTTACGCTTCCCATATACAGGGATCGTCGGGCTATAGAGATAACCGCGTGGGAAGCCTGAATGTTGTTTGACAGCGCTCATGATATTTCACATGTGACAAAACCTTACCTTAGTGTAGAAAAAAGAGCTGGATGCGCTATTCTCTTCTAGATTTTTTGATTATTTCATGTATGACACATATATGATTAAACCGGCAGTTATTTTAATGATTGAATAGTGCTCTTGTAGTAGCGAGGTTTTCTGGCAGTACGAATCCCAATTGTGTTCATTCCTAGTTTCCTTTATATTCTGATAATCTTGGTCATAAAAAAGGGCAGTAGAAGTAAGTACAGACCCACACATATAGCAAGACATATGTTTTTAGTGGAGCAACCGCGCCAAAAATAATTTTGAGGTTCACTGCAGCAAAAGCAACTGAAACTTGCCTTTCATCGCCAGAAAACGTCAATTAGATCGATTTTTCACAGCTGTCCCTTCTGATAAGTTTGACACATCGAATATCATTCTAAACATTTTGTTGCATCGGAGTTTTGGGTATTTAAAGCTCAAAATTCACGGATTTGATGTGAGGCGGCGGCGCCTGCAAAATCGCCGTGGTCCCACGGCGCAAAACCAGTGCGTTGTCGTAAACGTGTTATGTGACTTACCAAGTTTCTCGCACAGAGTACCGCATTGATGGGAGTTTTATGAAAGTATTGACTTATTGTCGGTACTGTCTCAACACCAGTCGCTCATATATTAGTTGAGCATAATGATCGCCGTATTGTTTTTCGGTTCATGCATTCTTTGATTTATTGCCCGTTTATTTTTAAATTATGATAGTAGTTTGAAAGCGTCAATTCTTGGTTACTATTTGATTTACACAACAGTAATTTCTCACTATGAGTGTATAATCAGAGTGTGTCCTCACCTGTCCCAAAGACTGTGTCTCTCAAAAATTTTGCTCTGGTACTTCCTCTGTCATCGCCTCTGTGTCAGTCTTCTGCCTTTGGCAAAATGAGCAAAGCCCTTCACGGAATGTTTTTTTCCTTTCTTTCTGTCGGGCACGCGATACTATACTGTTCACCAGTCCCACAGAACCACACGAAGCTTAATACCTTGGAGCCGTGCGACAAGTTGGTTCGATGACATCGGTCAAGACTTGTCTACGATTTCCATCTTAAAGCACCGCGCACTTTTACACGCCTCCGTTTGTCCGTCACGCTATGTCTACCAAGCGCACACTTAAGCAGGAAGGAAGAGTGCGCGGCGCGTTCTTTGTAGTTAAACTATATAGGCAAAGTGCTGGCTGGTTTTTTAGCCCGAAGCAAACCAAATCTGTCACCAATTGTTCCTGTAGAGCAGCTCTGCTCCAAAACGTGTGAGCTCTTATGCATTTGCGCGTGCGTCTCAAAGGAAGATTCCATGGTCCAGGAAGATCTACCTAGCGGGAAGAGATCTACCTAGCCCCTCCAAGGGTGTGGACCGATATGCAATTCGCATCGAGGGATGTGCCCCCGGTGACTCAGCGCGGCCGTTCCCGAACCGCTGATAACGTGGCACGCCACAATGTGCTAACCGATCGCTCGCGAGTCTCTGCAGTGTGCCAGAGACGCGGCTGAGCGATTGAAGAGGCACGATCCGATGAGCGAGTCGCACAATGCATATAATCAGCGGACAGGTAAAGGCGCAATGTCTCGGGCTCTGAAGGCGTTTCTGCCATTTTCTGAATACTCAGCACCGACCTCCTCCACTTAAAGGACGAATTCACGCTGGAAAGGCAACCCATTTCAAATTACCTTAGCGATGGTGAGGTACACTAAAGAAGGAAAACCATGAGAAACGGCCCAGAACCCGAGAAATGGGACCCCTTCCATTGCCCGTTGATTTGAGCATTGATGCGACTATCATCGCTGTGCCCTCTTCAACGCTACGCTCTCTCACCTATCTAATCACTCACCACGTATAGACCTGCGGCGAGTGATCAGATGATCGGTGGGCGTGCACTGACCAGCCGCGGCGGGATTAACCTTAATAGGTCAACGAGGTCAACTCCTCCTGTGCAAATTGTGCTTCAGTTCGCACACTTAGGAGCTCCGCGGGTCCCTCAACCAGGTGAATTCTTCCTAATTCGATTTTCCCTCTGATCGTGAATTCGTCCTTTAATTCGTTATTGAGGCTGCTTTCTACATCGGTAACTTTTCGTCCTCTAGGAATGCCGATCGCGGCGGGCGGACGTGCTCGATACGTCTCTGATTCATTGATGAACCAAAGGTCTCAGTGAATTGGAATGGGACCTCTTCCACAATAAAGACCATCGATATCATTGAAACCCTTCTTCCAGCCATCCACTGCCATTGAAACGTGTAGATGAGGGTTTTGGGCTAAATCAATACGCATATTTACTACAATCAGCCGCCAACTTCTTGACACGAACAACAGCGCTCAGACGGCTTCAAGCCTTTCTAGGATAGGCTTCTCAAAACCACCCATATTTCCAATTTTGGAAGAAAGTTCCTTGTTTGAGTACAAAAGATTTGCCTTCAAACTTTATAAAGAAACAACAACAAAAAAGTCGAACAATGAAATCGAGTAAAAAATTTGTTACTGCCGAATGTCACAAATAATGCCTATCGATGAGAACGGGCAGAAACAGTCAGGCAGAGTAACATAGCAATTTTTCTAGAAGAAATGAAACAAATAAGAGATGAGCAACAATGGAATTCCCAAACTACTGAGTGAGCATGATTCGGTAGGGTCGTCAAGTTCATCGTCAAACTTTTGGACAAATGGATAATCTTCTGTCGTGAGTGGACCATCCACCCTTTGAGTTACTTCTGCATCTCCAGGTGTCGCAGCATCACCTCCATCTCCGGCTGTAGCAGCTTCACCTCCATCTCCGGCTGTAGCAGCTTCACCTCCATCTCCGGCTGTAGCAGCTTCACCTCCATCTGCAGCTGTGGTAGCTTCACCTCCATCTGCAGCTGGGGAAGCTCCGGCATCCCCTCCCTCTGTCGCAGCTTCGCCTCCATCTCCAGCTGTAGCAGCTTCACCTCCATCTCCGGCTGTAGCAGCTTCACCTCCATCTCCGGCTGTAGCAGCTTCACCTCCATCTGCAGCTGTAGCAGCTTCACCTCCATCTCCAGCTGTAGCAGCTTCACCTCCATCTCCAGCTGTAGCAGCTTCACCTCCATCTGCAGCTGTAGTAGCGTCACCTCCATCTGCAGGTGCGGGAGCTCCCGCATCCCCTCCACCTGTCGTAGTTTCATCCCCTTGTGCTGCCCCACCATCAGGGCCTCCAGCGTCACCACCAGCCGTGGTAGGCTCAGCATTCCCTTCATCAGCGGCTGCCTCTTCGCCTTGTATACTAATGACATGTAGTGCGCAGAACATTACGAGCGCTGCAAGGAGAAATCATCACGTGGTAAAGAAAGACGTGGCTGAGCCATGGCTGTGCTCATACTAAGCTTTGAAACCTTTGAGGAACAGTTTGTGCAGGTTCAAAGCTCTGAGTGAAGCCAAGACTCAGACTTCGTAGCTATGAACATACGAACCGAATTCAACAGCAAGAAGTCTCATGGTAGTAGTCGTTGGATTCCGGAACGGTACGATATTGTAGAATGTCCAACCTTACCGCATAGTGCCTTATATACGAGCAAACGAAATCAACATCAGGTGAGATATCTCTTATCGCCGACATTTCATTTTGTAATTTTCACCAGGGGGATAGGCTGATTTCGATATTTTAATATCGTCCTGATATGACTGGTGGTTGAAAAACTGACGAATTCCAGTTGAAAGTGTGGGTATTGATTAGATAACGATTGAAGTGATACGCCAACCGAACTTCTGTGCATGCTTCTCGATCTTCTAGTGTGTATCGTAAAAGCGCAAGAGCGCTAGTGTACTTAGGGGATGGGCGGGGGGCGGCACCGTTATGCGAACGCTCAACACTCAACATTGCCTAGTCCTCGGAGAGAGGTGTGTTACCACTTCACGCTTTCCCCGAAGTTCATACTCTCCTCTCATGGTCAGGATCAGACCGCTTCGAGTATACCCCGGCCCCACACCGCCTCCTAGACTACTAACGCAGGTGCGGGGCTTACGTACTCCCTCTTGGCGTTGATCTGTATAGGTCAATGAACGCCGATGGAATTCAAGAAGAACTTTTACGATCCGAAGAATAGGCTACTACCCAGATCTATCTTCAGCACCATGTTCATACTCAATGGTTTAGAAAATTAGAAGGTCAACTCATGAGGAAATATATTGATTTGGAGGATCCAGTTTTAGGAACCACACAGCAGACCAAAAGTCAGACAAGATTCAAGGTGAAAAGACCACGCAATATGGAGCTCGGAACGTCGTTCCCCTAGTCTCTTTTCTCTTCGACCAGTTGCGTCTTGACCTCTCTAGCTGGCAACCTCTCAACTCACTCGGCTCCTATGTTCTTCACCTCTAAATCAATCTCCTCAGTCTCTCAAATACATTGAGTAATATTATGCGCTGAGCCCATTTCCAGAGTTTGTCATCTCCGCATGACGGTATCGTAGAAAAAAGAGGCTATTGATTACACAATGAAACAAGAAATCGATAATCCATAAAAAAACTTGCTGGATGGATAAGCCGTGACAGGGGCAGACTTGTATGACTTAGGCAGGGTTCAAGGGCGCGTTCGACAAGGGGAAGAGCCTGGTGACTATGGGATCCAATATGAAACATTTTATTTGAATAATAATATTCAGAAATAATAAACGCCAAATTATTGATTTGCCAGCGGAGTGTAAGGAAAAGAAACCATGAAAAACGGACTTAAAATAGCCCTTCTTTTTGTGAACGATAGGAGAGTCTCGAAGGCAAAGTCTGAGACAGTGTACAGTGAAGAGATAGAACGACAGCTGGCGAAGAGTGAGCACAGGAATGAGCGAGACACAGACATTACAACGGTGAGCGTGCGTGTAGCTTCCATGGTTAGGTAATTCTAGACACAGCGTCCCCGTCACGTCATTACCGAAAATGGGACCTCTACAACTCATGCAGAGGCGAACTCTGGCCAACCTTACTGCCTTGTAAGGACATGCTTCAATGCATCTGATCAACGTCTGCGTGATACGAACATGTCTTTGACCCTGAGAGCATGTATATGCGGGAACCCTTAAACGCCTACTCAATCTACAAAATTTTCATCTAGTGAAGAAAATTCATTATAAATTAACTCAAAAATACACAACAAAACAGTAGAGTGACGTCTCGAACACCGGCATTTCAGTACCTTTAACTTTGATGATACTTAATTAACCTTCTGTTTAATACCATGAGATAGAAGACACCGTCATGACACAAGAAGCATTGAAGATAAAAGAAGAATACGGCAACAACAGAAAAACCGGAGTAAGGCTGCTTCCAAACTTCTAATTTCAACCGTATGCGTGCGAAAAACATTATCGATTACTTTAGAATACAATACGCATCCTAATGTGTGTACAGCTTCTTTCCCGCGGTTTGACCTTCCGCAATTGCAGAATCAGGCTGCATTAGCAAAGGCCTCCTGAAAATCAACTATCAGTTCTGTCTTCGTAAATGCCTCTCCTGGTGGTGCCATGAGTGTTACTAAGTCTGCAATTACGACAAGTTCCGTGCGGGAAACAGAGCGTGAATACGCTAATGGGCAGGCTGAAGTGTAAAAGCGGCTCAAACCTATATAATACAGTCAACAAGAAGATCACAATACGTGGAAAGATATGAAGGAAGTAGAGTACCGTGTGAAACTTTCAACAAGAGCAAATCATTTGGCAGTCGCTACTTAAACGACTTCTTCGAAGTTCCCGTCGCCGACTGCCCCGTGGCTGACTGCGCCATCGACGCCACGTCATCTGAGTGGAAGAATACGCTCGGAATATCCTGTCCGTAGAAAATTTTGTTTTTTTCGCGATTGCTTCGATTCGTCTCAGCTCCGTAATATTCCCTATGAATTTTGACGTCTCAAAATGTTATTACGACGTAATACTTGAGAAGCAACTCCAGTTTCCTCTAATATTTACCTCTCCCCTTCAAAAAGCCAGAAAGTGTGCGGTGCAGACCAAACACCACAACTGACGACGGCCTCCAAGTAAATCTGGTTAGTAGTGGTTCATAGTGATAGCTGATTTTAGTAAATGATAGTTGTAATTAGTGTCAACTGATCGAATACAACTGTAACAGGTTAATCATTTCATTGGCAAAAACATTTGCATTTTCTGGAGGCCGTCGTCACTGTGTGTATGGTCTGCACCGCATTTCTGGCTTTTTGGAGGAGAGTGTTGTTGCAGTGGTCGAGCAATCACACAGCTGCCGCTACAGATCATGTTCTGTCCGCAAAACTGCAGCTCAGCGAGCCGATACAAATGCAACATGGCCAATGGGGTTTTTTTGGTGTCGGGTCCACGTCTTCGATAGATGGGCGTGGCCCCGGCTGATGGTACCGAAGGAGGGCCAGTACCCAAGGACCCCGAGATAAGGAGTCGGCAGTCGTCAGTCGTCACTCACTACCTCCACCCCGTCTTCCCCTTTCTCTCATAACCCTTATAATAAATATGTATAGCCAATAATGTTCTGTATTACAAACCGCTACACACCTTCAGATTAGGCCTGATCAACCTATAATCTGATAGGTGCGGATGCATCTAAACTCGGAGATCCTGCAGCCGATATGAACCGTAAAGGCGTCGCTATTTCGTGATCGAGTCTTTTGAAATAGAGACGAAAGTTGATAGAAGGCGCAACGAGAACGATGACAGCCGACTACATAGAGACTCTTCGCAGTTTCACGTAAGCATGCAACTTCGCAGAGTATGGAGGCAGCCAGCATTTATTCCAGGAGTAACGCAAAAATGTTATCGCGCGGTAAAGGATAGAAACGCAAAATTGGTCTCGCCAAGTTTTGGTGCCAACTCACAAGGGGGGTCTTTCAGGACATGGAGCGTTTTTTTTTTTCAAAATGGTTCCCTGATGTTGTAGAGGCTCATGTGAGGAACACAGAACCATGGTCCATTTTTCCTGAACGCCCCAGGAATGTCAAAACAGCGGGGAAGAAATGGTCCAAAGTTCGATCCTGATGACAAATTTTTGCAATTTATGTTGGCGCCTCCAAATTGCCGCAAAACACGACAATGACATCTATTCTCGACGATGGCGCCATTTGGCGGCAATCTGGGGCGCCAAACTATATTGCAAAAATTAGTCATCACCGGGATCGAACTCTGGACCATTTCTTCACCACTGTTTTGACATTCCTGGAGGCGTTCAGAAAAATGGATTATGGTTCTGTGTTCCTCGTATGAGCCATGATCCATTCAGCGCACGAGCAAACAACATGCAGAAAACCATTTCGAAAAGCACTCCATGTCCCTTGTTAGCCTAGCCTCAATTCAATTAGGCTGCAGTATATTACGTCACATGCGTTCCAAATTTCACGGCGTGGAGCCGAAAATTGATGTTTGGCTATTGTGTTTCTCTTTTAAACCGACCCTCTTGACTCTTCAGATTAGGTTCATTGGTAAAGGATCACTTAAGCAAGGATTCCTGCCCTCCCGTTTATACTGAAAGCCACGCTGAGCCGACCGCTTCGCGACCGCGTTCTCAGTTGTTACTCAATTAAGACAAGGCTAACACCTACATTTATAAACCTGGCAAGCAATTAGCATGTAACAACATAACAGACAGAGCTCATTGTCAGTGTCATTTTTGTAGAAAAGCATGAATGTGCTATCCAAAAATAAAAGGGACGTCTTAAGGGGACTAACTTAACTGAATGTTATAACAACCACAATTTACGGAATCCTTGTGCTTGCAGCGCGATGCCTGATCTCCCAACAACCTCTCAACATATGCACGCAGACCTCGAGGGTAATTTTGATATATATTGACCAAATTATTCAAATTTCAAGATATAGAGTCCGCTGACAGACCATGTGAACGAAAATATCAGCATGAATGTATAGCAAATATAAAAGACCAGTTTAGCTCCGCACACTACCGCGTGCATGACACGGAAGGGCTCCGTAAAGCTGGCCAGCCGGCGGAGCGTTAGGTTCCGCCGCTAAACAATAACTTGCTTCGTGAAATGCGTTAGCTGGCCTTCTACAGAATGCCCATTTTTAACCAACCGTCTGATACGCGCGGTGGAGTGCGGAGCTAAAGTGGTGTCTGTAAACAGCCACCATGCATTGGATGTCAGGATGATTTAGCGGTCGAATAATATTGATGCCAATGATTTTGCAATAGAAATACCCATTATCGTATATCGCTAAACATCCATCATACATTCTTAGGGATTTTGGGATGTAGCGGTCGAACGGTATTTTATGTTGATGACAACAACGCAATGAGATGATTCTGAAGTGAAATGCGTTATCTAGAACCACGGTTTTAAGCGATCCATATGTTCCCACGTGATTATCGGCCCTTATCACCTCCTGTACCTCACCGTACATGTTCCCGTCCCACTCTGTACATCACTTCTTGGAACCAACGCCCCACTGCTGCTGGGACGCGCGCTATGAATTTCGTGAAATTTGCGTTTCAGCGCCTCTTATCAACCCTTATCAGCCCTTATCACTTCCTGTACCCCACCGAACATGTTCCCGTCCCACCCTGTACATCACTTCTTGGAACCAACGCCCCACTGCTGCTGGGACGCGCGCTATGAATTTCATGAAAATTGCGTTTCAGCGCCTCTTATCAGATCTTATCAGTCGGTATCACTTTATAAACCCCACCAAATATGTTGCCGTCCCACCCCCTACACCATACTCAAAATACAGCGTTCCATGCCTGCAGCGAAGCGCGCTATGAATTTCGTGACAGACGGACGTACGTACAGACAGACACACACACACACAGACAGACATACTTAGCGAATTATATATATAGATGAAAAATGTGGCCCCAACATGTAAAGGCTACACAACTTTCTCCGTTCGAGAAATCATTTGTAAACGAAGAAACGAAACTCATTGAATCAAAAGCACAAGTTCAATTAAAATCATAATAAGTTCCGATAGAAAACCACAAGCAAAACTTACGGAGTGAGCAACAAACGGTTTGCTTCAGCTTCTCTTTGTACTCTATAGAACTCTGCGTCGGCTTTCGCCTTCTGGGATGCTTAAAGAACAATTTAGCACCCTAATACATTCGAGTCTTAGAGCTATCTCTTCACAAGACAAACCAAGGATGACTTTCATCCTCCAACTGACTGATCTTCTTTTGCGTCTCTTTCTCAGCGATCGTCTGCTTATGCATTATTGCAGCTACTTGAGCCTTCTTCTCAGCCTCTTAAATAAAAAATAAGAATTTGATCGAAATGATAATCCTTCCCTACCTACCAATTACTGCCTTTTTCCTGTCCGTTTCTGCCTCCTTTTCGACGACTTTCTGATGTTGCACGGCCACAAGAAGCTTGGTCTGAAGAAAGAATAAAAAAATCAAGCAGGTCTCTTTGCAAAAATCAGTACGACACTGTAAATCAGGCAGCTCCTATGCAAGGCGACCCGGCCCACTTCAACTATTAGTGGGGAGTAATAATGCCCAAAGATTTCTCTATTACTCCTACAATTACAAGAATCTTCAAACTGAGTGAGTACCTTTTCAGCTTCCATCTGTTCATAATTGTGGCGAATTGCTTCGGGTATCTTTGGTTTTGTTACTCGTACTGCTTGAACAAAAAGACCAGGAGCCATCACTGTCAAGTCCTCCTGTAGAGCTGTTTTGAGGTTCTCGTCGATTTGATCTGGAAAAAATCTGAAGCAATAAACTACTGAGGATATCTCATTCAGAAACTCGTGAAATCTTCGAACCCTAGACTCGTCAAACCAAACAATG